TGTTGTTTAGTTCCTTTCTTTTTTTTTTTTTTTTTTTTTTTTTTTTTTTTTTTTTTTTTTTTTTTTTTTTTTTTTTTTTTTTTTTTTTTTTTTTTTTTTTTTTTTTTTTTTTTTTTTTTTTTTTTTTTTTTTTTTTTTTTTTTTTTTTTTTTTTTTTTTTTTTTTTTTTTTTTTTTTTTTTTTTTTTTTTTTTTTTTTTTTTTTTTTTTTTTTCTTCCCACTTGACAAGTACTCTTTTAATACATTGCCGATTATTGCTTCATTTTGATAGAGGAATGCAGTGTCTAAAAGTAGATCTTAATTAGTGACTGTCTCTTCAACCAAAGGCACATTCCGTGATGATGGCTAGGCGGAGAGATGGGCGGGAGACTAGCAAACATTGTGCCACCTTGCTTGCACAAAGGCAGCATGGTCCTATGTCTAAGCCTTCTCCTCCTCCCATCTGGTGATCGCGGAATGCGTCTTTAAATGTCTCCTTGAATCTTGAGAATCACTTCAGTGAATGATCTTTGGTCATAGATTGAAGCGAATATGTCTCTGTACCTCACCAATTAGACGGTATCCGTTGTCAAGCGCTGTCCGTAGAGAAATCATCAAGTCGTGCTCGTCTTTTGCCTGGAAAAACGAGCGGAATAAGTATCTTCCTCATCGTGATTACAGAGCACTAAGAATCCACTGGGTAAATCTAGCGCGTCATATGAAGGGACATAACTGGCGCTCTACGAATACGATGATCAACTGGAGCACAGGCGATAGAGCCTAATTATTTTTATTATTCTGCAGTGAACATCCTGTTCTCTGCAGTGTTCCATTTCCTGTAACTTCGCTTCCCACAATGATATTTATTTATTTGTCCGTTCATTTATTTATTTATCATGCACGCATAGGTGCGCTACAATGTAAGCGATACGTCGGGTTATAGAATGAACAAAAATACATTTAAAAAAACACAAATTCGGCAACACAAATACAACCAAGTAGGGAGCTCTCTGGACCGCGTTTTAGAAATCCTGTATGCGCAACAGGGTCATTAAGTTCGACCATATGACGTGACGCCACGTGACTTCTACTCCTATCATTCAAAAACTTTCCCGGAAAGAGCTCTCTGTTGAATACGGTAGCAACCACTCTTTCACTTTTCCTTGCAAATTAAAAAAAAACAGGAGAAACCAGGAAAATTTTGGCTTCCTGGGAAAAATAAGGTGCACAAAATAAAATAAAAACAAGATGGAAAGAAAAATGAGAGTAAAAGGCAAAAAATAAAAGGCAAAAGAACAGAATAAATAGTCGTTACAAGAATGCTGTATTAAGTATAGGCAAATGCCTGAACGTCACGCACACAAGGCTAGCTGAGTTACCTCTTGCTCTCGACCCCCTCAATAATTCTTATTTATTATATTTTACAACATAGCCCATTAGTTTCATTTCAGTGATTTCTCCTGGCATACTGACCATAACACCGCTGGGCTCCCCTTTTAACCTCGCAGCTTGAAGGGCTACTGTCATACATTTTCGTCATACCTACAGCTAAAACGTATATGCTTTTCGCCGAAGCACAGTTATGGGCAGAAGCTGGCGTTAGCTGAGCATTTTCCCATGATTCAATGTAACATTGTCTTGTTGCTTTTGCTATCTGCCAAGCGATTAAGCAACCGCTGTAATCAAACCTGTTAAAAAAATTGTAAAGAAATAATCAAAAAAGGTGCGTGTAGTTTCATGATGGCTTGCTGTTAACATTTAATCTGCTCGACAATGATTCACTTGAGGCTCGACTAAGTAGCGAGGGGGAGGAGCATAAAAAGAAAGACACTTTTCTGCACCTTGGCTCTCGGAGGGCGCTAGTAAGTTACAAATTGATTGAACTACTGATCGTGCCTTTTCAACTGACCATATTGAAGACTTATTATATCTTATCATAATGCTGCCGCCACAGCCGTTCTCGACCAAGCGCGCCATCGAGAAATTCTGCCACGTCAACCATGGTTGCGGTGCCCTGAGTTTCAAAACATGCTCTTTCTGGGCTGCGAAATTTTGCAAATTTTTCCGATATGTAACTCGGTCGAAGTGTCTTTTTTTATTGCCTCCCCCTGTATAGCAATACTCAAAAGTATGAATGAGCAGAAAATCAACCACCTGCCAAGTTCCGAAGTCCCAGCAGAGGGCATGTTGGCTCCATTTGAAAGTGTTACCGTTTCGACGACCATCTAAAACATGACGGATACTATAGAAATGATCCACAGTTAGCACGACCATCAACATTAAATCCATAATGGAAAAAGGAAAGGAAAGGAGAAAGGAAAATAATGCAGTTTGAAGGTGATTGTTCATTGAGCAAATGCAAAGCAAAAAATGCATTGGTTGAAGAATGAGTTTACCCAGATTTTACAAAGTCCCAGAAGCCAACAAAAAGCAGTTTCACAAAAACAGAGACTGGGCGCCATGCCCGCCCCAAGAGGCTGAGTTCTGGATGTCGACGGATCGACGCTCATGACACGGACTGGGTTAAAGTTGGAGGTCCTTATCCACAAGGAAGAAATGAAAATGAAAGAAAAAACGTGCACGAAATGCGGGATCACTCTAAAAAAGTCCAAGGAAAAGCGTTGTCTCGTCATTATGATTGAAGGTAGTGAACTGCAAAATAATGTTTCCTTGAGCGAAATAATAAGATTTTCTTTTCAAAATTCAATTCTTTCCATTATAACTAAGGTTTGGTATTAACTCTTAAGGTCAAAGTGAAGCATGGAATGTTGGAATTATACTTGTTGAGAGCCAAATTCAAGTGTATAGCCATGATTCTGAATTTCGGTACTGTTTTCACTTCACCCCCCCCCCTCTGTTGGAAATACGCCCAGATCTCGCTAAAAATTTTGCTTCCTGGATGGATTTGGAAAAAACTTTGCCCTAGAGGGTAGCTTGACCCGGATACCAAATCCGTTTGAAACGTGGGTATCACATCCATAGGGCCTGACGTCCGCGCCATGGGCGCCTGCGCCACAGTAGTTTAGGCGCCGACGCCTGTAGCGCACGAATCAGGGGTTCTCACGCCAAGCTAGGGTGGTATTCGCGTTAAGGGGTTCAGTATAAGAGCCTGAGGACTGGTCATCAAGAAATTTGGTTTCTTGAGGTGTAGTATACCAGCGCCAGACTGTTCGAGCCAAACCAATGCCATATTCACGTTCAGGGGATCAAATAACCGCTGAGACAAGAATTTTAGCTAAATCTACTCACATGGGAAAGTTTCGATCAAAATTTAGCCTGAATTCCGAACAGTGTGGAGCAAAGAGTAAATAGTGCCGGGAATGTCATGCGATTTGGCTTCCCAACGTAGCCATTGTTCTGTTCGAGCACAGGAAAACATGCCGATTATTACTAATGCGGATTGCCTATGGCGCAGTGGCCCGTCATAACATAGGCAACTAGTTGCGATGACAAATTCTAAACAGATTATGTACACATAATTCCACCTATGCGTTCTCCACGAACTCGCATTTTGAGGTCAATTTTTTTCCTAAGTTTTCGGGAAAAAAATCTGCACCCAGAAGTTGTACAGCAACTACATGCATAAACTGGCTCGAAAGCACAACATTTTCCTTCATTCATTCCTTTCGAACAGGGTTACTCTCTCAAGGTTGTAACTCATAATTCCACCGCATGCTCTCTTGTCACTGCTGTTTCTCCTGATCGCTCCACTTTGTTTTTGAAGGTTGTTCTCTTTTCCGAAAGAGAAAATCCATTCCCTATCCTCGGAAAAGGCAAACTGTAGTAGAACTAAACAGCAGAGCTGTAAAATAGCACGAGATAATCGTCTGAATTCCGAAATCCTTCACAATTCGAATAAGAATGCTGCAGGGTGGTGAACCCTCCGTATAATGGAATCAGAGCTTCACAAACGCTCATAAGAGCTGGAGGACACTACTCAAACTTTACTAACACACTGTGCAAAAGAGGCTTTTCCCCAGGTGTAGTCCCAATTTCTGATAGTGAGTACAAATATTAATATATTTGTTTCCTAAGCAAAAATGCCCAGAGCTCGCACACTGCCGTTGGGGAACTTTTGTGAAGTACGCCCCCCCCCTCCCCCATTCCCATCCCATGCCACCTACCATCTTCTTTGATTTTCCCGAGTTCCTACGACGTTCCTGGAGTTCCTCCTCAGGAAACGGTCTTTGAGCGGGAAGGAAGCGGGGGAGGGAGTGAATGGCACATTTAAAAGAGAAAAAAACCAAGAGAAGTCAACGACCGAAAACGTTTTCTCGAAGGCCAAAACGACCACCGCCCCAATGGGAGCCTCCCATCGTTAGAGATAGCGCGCGTGAAACAGGGGAAAATCAACTAACAAAGAAGTTCTCAGGCCAAATGCGACCCTACGATCCTTCCTGCGACCGAATGCGATCCGCTAGGGGAACCTCCAACGTACGACATGCCCTAAGCGGCCAGTTTTGATACCGCGGCCCGCGGTCCATTTCGCGTTGAGCCAAAACGTAAGTCGTGGTCGAGGGGTCAAACTAGCTACTGGATTAGAAAAATCTATGAAAAAAGGTAATTTTGACAGAGACTCAAGTTCTTCGAGTATGGATCGAAACACGAAATTACTAGTCGTGGAATGTGAGCAATTTGGGATGGTTGGACTAGTGGGGTCAAAAATATAAACAGGTACATATCGATAATAACAACAGTATCTGCCCATCAGTTTCCGGAAAACTGGCAAAGTCTCCACGGGGAGGAATTTCTGCGGAGGTACCAGTCTGCATATGATTACCCTGACACTACGTATGGACACAAGGTTGCAGTTTAACCCCATCTACATAGTCATCATGACTTCTGTAAACTTTCGGTACTCCGGATGAGAAACATATCCGCAGAGGTAACGTTCTCAATTGCCAAGGTCGTAGAAGTTCTACCGTGAACAAATAGCAAGGGTAGTCTGCTCCTTTGAATGATTTTTGACGATGAAAAATGAGATAAAGATGTTGGAGCGAAAGTGTGAAGCGGGTGGAGTGGCCAAACTGTAACGAAGCGAAGGATATGAACAGTGCAAACATGGGATGGGAGTGGGGTGATAGTTTATCATCTCAAGAGCCAGGATTTTTCAGCGCAGTTTACCCGTTTATTAGGTCATCCCATTCAACGAGGAAAAATTATTTAAATAAAGCTAACCGGAAAACAGATAAAAAAGCAAGGCTGTCGAGGTGTCTCCACTAAATCAAAACAAAAAACTAACAAAAACAAAGGCGCCACCCAAAATTCACTTCGTATTCAGTCAAATGACTGGAAGGAATTGTTTTGGATGCTGAGTAGTCTCTTCGGGAATTGACCAGCCATGTTAAAAACAAGGTAATGGAGATGACAAACAGAAACGTCTTCGGGTACTGCCGCACATTCAAGTACTCTGGAACTTTCAATGTCATATGTGGCGGCTACTGTATCATATGGCGCTAACTTCCTTCATCCCGATGGCCGTCTCCACAACGCTTGAAAGGGCGGTTGCATCTCTGTGGGCAGGGCACGTCCTGGGAAAATTTTTGCAAATACGACTCTTAATTTCCGTCTCTGGCACCCTCCCCCCCCCCTTTACTCATCCCATCCATGATAGAAAACTATTTTCACGAGGGCAAATACGACCTCTTCCTTCCAGCGACCGAAAGCGACCTCCCTCGCCGGGTACGCCCAATGTACGACTTAACATGTCAGTGAGCTTTTATAGTGGAGGGACATGAGCAAAACATCATATCAGATTGATAGTATCGATAGGTCTTTGGTTTCCCGAGTGCTTAATTTCTTCTATCAGTTCGTTTATCGCATCCACCGATATGAATGTGCTTTTCGTGGACACAAAGAGAAATGTATAGAACAACAGGCCACCCTAGTGATCTATAGAATAGAGTGATTCGAGTAGCAATGGAGATGGTCCGAAAAGAATAGATGTTATGGATTTGTCACCACGTTCGGGGTGCTGTAAAATACGTTAGATCAAGTCACAGAACATACAATCACAGAATAGCAAGAATTAGGTGGTCCTGCAATCACAGAACAAGTGGTCCCACTGTTAGCTTATCAACCTCGCTGGCAGCACAGATCTAGGTGAGCGGGTAGCACTATTCAGTTGTGGGTTGCAGCCAGCCTACTTGGCTTGGCGCGACACATTTCAGCGCCGAACTTCAATCGTTCATTGCAGGGTTCGACCCTTTTGCCTTGTGTGGACATAACAATGAGAATGGTGTCATATCGTGATCACATGGTCGGTGTCATTGTCCTTTATGTTGACAGCAATTCACAAAAATGCCATGTTTTATTAAGGGGAGTTGCGCCCAGGTTTTCTT